TTAGGGGAGAAACAAAACTACAGTATTCAGTTTTCCAAAATTACTTGCATCTAGCACTACCCAGGAATATTCTCCTATGTCTAAAGTTGGATCAGTGTGAATAAATCCAGGGTAGTCTACTTAAGAGCCAGTATGCAAGTAAACACACTGATACGGCAGACAACATGGAAACTGAGAAGATGTAGGACAGCTTTCAATAAAACTGATAATTTCTAAATAGTGAGGTTCAACTCATAACAGAACACATATTCTAACCTACATGACATATCTCTTGAAAAAGGCTTGGATAGAAAACTGTTTTCCCCCAAAATCATAACTATGAGAAATTACACGCAAATTGTTTTTTTTTTTTTTTTTTCATTTGGAAGAAGCTGGTAATTATCTGTGATGAAGCACTGTTCCTGGCTCCTGCATAGTGACGAATGGAAGAGAGAAATGAAACAGCACAGTCATTGCCCAGGCACATCTGGTTTGGGTTTCAAGCATTGAGCCATATCATAATGTGTAGATTTACCCTTTAAATGAACATCCCATTATCATGTTTTCTGGCAGAAAATGAGCTGGACTTGGAACTCCATGAGAATTTAGGGCAGTGACAGTTTAGACATTAAGTGCCAAACTCTGGCTTGCAAAGTTCTGATTAACTAAATTACTGCAAGGCTGAGAAAGACAGAGGGTGGAGTGGTTCTTGAAAAAGAGTTTAGGTGGAAAATGGAGGAAGGGAACAATCAAAACGGTGGCAATAGGCAACCCCGGTATAAGATTCTGTGTTAGTAACTACTGATTATTAGCCCTTTCTTAACTCAGTGATTTGCTGCATGCAGGTTGGTCTAGATAAAGACTTTTAGATGCATAAGCAATGACAAGTTTATTTAGACCTCCTAAACCATCTCCTTATGGACCTCAAAATAAAAGCAATATAGACTACAAGACAAAGGCAGTAAAGACTGCTTTAATTTTGTAAAATATGGGTTATTCGATGATTTAATATTTTTCATTTCCTTTTTGAGCCTCTGCTTTGCAAGTCCTCTAATTATATATGATTGATCTGATTAATAGATAACCCAGCATTATGCCCTAGATATTCTGAACAGAATTTACTACTTCATTCATCATTTTAAGGGTGTCTCAAAAATATGAAAGTAAATCACCTACCCAACCAATCTAAGCAGACCGTCCTAGTGCCTTTAGCTGTTTCATGAATGACCTCTCAAGCTAATCCGGTCAAATGAGTGGTGCCCAAGTCCATTAAACGTGCCCAAGTCCATTAAAACACATTTTGCAAATGCACTGTGGCACAAGAAAGTAGATCATCTTGAGGAAGGAAAGCAATCAGAAAATCTTTCCATGGTAAACTCATTAAGTAATTCTGCTTTGTCTTTAAGATAGCCTTCATGATCTTTGTCATGACTTACAGTACACTTTAAGGATTTCACTTCCATCGAGCCCTCCAGTACTCATTCTGTGCCCCAGTGTTCTGGTTAAATGACTAGCAGTTTCCCAACATACCTTGCTCTTGTCTGGGGACTTAGTGTGAGCTATAGCTTCTGCCTAGAATAGCAATGCCCACTAAAAATATAATGCAGCCTATGCAAGTTTAAATTTTCAAGGAGGCACATTTTAAAAAGTAAAAAGAAACAGAAAATCTAATTTTAATAATGTATTTTGTTTACCTCAATATGTCCAAAATATTATCATTTCAACTTGTCATTGATATAAAAAGTATTAACGAGGCATTTTACACTCTTCTTTTGAACTAAGTTTTCCAAGTCCAATCCCATGTATAGTGCATCTTAATTCAGACCTAGCTAGCTACATTTTCTGTGTGTCTAGTGGCTACCAAATCTGAAAGCACTGGTGTAGAAAACCTTTGCCTTCCTTATCTTTCAATTTCAGATCAATCTCACCCTTGCCAGGAATGCCCTCATTCTCAGGTATAGGTGTCCACCCATTTGCCACCAGAGTACCTTAGGTTACCTCCTGAAATAGCACTTCACATACCCTATTGCTTGTTTGCATATCTTTATCTGCCAGAAGACGAAGTTCTCTGGATGTTTGGATCAGTCTTACCTAATGTTTTAAATTTTCTTTTTTGACATTTATTTTTTGAGCGACAGGGTGGGGGGGGAGGGATGGAGAGAGAGAAAGAGAGAGGGAAGGAGGGAGATAGAGAGAGAGTCACAGATTTGGAATCAGGCTCCAGTCTCTAAGCTGTCAGCACAGAGCCCAATATGGGGCTCAAACTCATGAACCGTGAGATCATGACCTGAGCTGAAGTCAGATGCTTAACTGACGGAGCCACCCAGGTGCTCCAAGGTCTTACCTAATTTTATATCCTAGGCACCTAGCAAATATTTGTCACATAAAGGATCACAAGTTTCCAGTTATGTTAAGCAGAAATAGCATATCACTGTTCAAGAGGGGATGAATTTATGAGTTAGTCCTAAATCTTCATATTAAGCTCTTATTATTTATAGTTCACTGTGTTGGCAAAGTAAATTATCTCTATGTCCTAGGCTTTTTTTTTTTTAAATCTCCTTTTCCAAAACAAAAACACAAAAATCTCAAGGCCAAAATTCTCACACATGTTTAGTTAATTTTTAATGACTCAACGTAAGCCAACTTGATATTTTTACTATATAAGCCATCTTTCAGAGATAACTGATAAAGAATGTCTTACTCAAAGAATTAACTAAAGAACTGGTCAACATTTGTGACACAAAGTGAAGGCAGGGGGTATCTGCTTTGAATCTGGGGCTAGTGACCTCAAGGTTGCTTTTGGCACAGGCATAACTATGGAATGTGGACCAACCACACACTATTTGACATTTTGGAAAGAGCCAAACTAGTGAAAGGATCTGTCTCTCCTTTATGCACTCTCGTTAAGTATGTGGCACTAAATTATCTTTAGAAGGAATAAAAGAAACATATGCCATTTAGCTACATTTATCTACACAGCTTTGTTTATAGTGGTGCATTTTGCCCAAATGAGCAAATATATGATGAGATTATTAATCTCTCTCTTCAGTGTGATACTTTGGGGAAGAAACATGAAGGATTTTATAAAATATGAATTTGCAAACACTGAAATAACTATTTTCCTACACACTTGCTCAACATGATATTCTTTTGTAAAGATTAACTGTAATGTGCCATATTAAAAGGCTTTGTAAACTATATGGCATTATATAAATGTGAGTTATTATAATTATTGAACAGGCTATTAATTAAATACAGCAAAATTAGAAAAATTGAATTTTTAATTGTCATTAGTCTTCTTTAAGTGTTAACTAATGACACTCTGGCAGCTCTTAATATCACAGCTCATTTGAAAGTTGAGAAAAATGAGGAAAAGTGTAATTTGCACAAGACTTTTGATTCAGTCTTAGGTAGATTCAAAGTTAAATGACAGCAAACACTCTAGACCTTTAGCCTAAGTATTCAATTACTTCTCCCTTCTTTTTCCTCGAGTGCCTGCTATTAACAAGCCTCTCAGTTAACCTTTTCCCTCTGGTTGATAACTGTTGGCCAGTGCTTGATTTTGACTCCATTAGTCCGATCTTTTATGTAGGCTTTTCAAGATTTTGTTGATGGTTGTAGATTTTCTTAGAGGTACAATATAAATCTCACCTTTACAGTTGAAAGTCATTTCCTTAAACCCTGGTTACCTTATTTGCAAGATCTGTGAAAAGCTGATCTAACTGAATGACTTTTAGGAGCTACTAGCACAGATAGGCAGTCACAGTGGCCTTCTGATTGATTACTCAAGGCTCCCTGAAGCACTGAGTTGGGAGAGACCCAAAGTTTCCCTGCGGACTCAGTGGGAAGAGTTCCGTAATCGATTAGGAATGTCTGCCATGGGTGAGACTGACAACTGGAGTGACTGGCTTTTGCCTTCCAAGTTCTAGGTTGATAAGCAATAGGAGGGAGTTGGGGTAAAATCCACCTATTTGTGAGTAGGTGCTGAGAAGTAGTGACCTGCAGAGAACAAACAAGTTCAACGTAGCCTGGATCTTTATATCAAAGTGTGAGTAATGTCTGTATGTCAACGAAATGCAATACCCTGCAGTAAGTGGTGACAAAATGCATAATGGGTTACTGCAAAGTAGTTCATAAGAAATGTAAATGTGTCAACTACCCAGTTAGATGTTGACCCAGCACAAGTAAGAAATGATGACTTTTTAGCAAATCTTCATCTACTATCTTCTTTTAAAGTTTTTTTTTTTTTTTAGTGTTTTATTTATTTCTAGGAGAGAGAGAGAGAGAGACAGCTTGAGCAGGGGAGGGTCAGAGAGAGAGAGAGTCACAGACTGAAACAGGCTCCAGGCTCTGAGCTGGCAGTCAGCACAGAGCCCAACACGAGGCTCGAACCCACTAACCGCGAGATCATGACCTAAGCGAAAGTCGGATGCTCAACCGACTAAGCCACCCAGGCGCCCCTACTGTCTTCTTTAAATCTAACTTGAACCCTGTCCCTTCCTGCACAATCCAATTCTAACACCTGCCAAGAAGACAAAAACTAAAACCAAACACGGGCACCACCTCATCTTCCACTCAGACAAAAAAGCAGCAGAGAACAGTAAGAAAAACTCATCATCTAACCCTATGGAAACAATATTTGACTGAATAAATCCTTGCTTCCTCCATTTTGGAAAACCAAAGTAGAAAACAGTACTGAGCTTCAAGATGAATGAGGAATGTGAAGTCTGAATAAGAACATATACTCATTTGCCATTTTGTTTCCCAATAATTCACGTCAAGATGGATTGGGGACCCACCACTGTTTCAAAGTCAACAGGCTGAATATTGCATATTCTAGCAAAGCCTCAGCTTTAGTTTATTTTCTAATCTACAGAAAAAAGGTGAAAAGAAAGGAAAGGGAAGGAATGGGAGGGATGGGAAGGGAAGGGAAGAGAAGGGAAAGGAAGGGAAGAGAAGGGAAGAGAAGGGGAGGGGAAAAAACCCTCCTTTAAAATGAAAGTGAGCTCCCAGCTGCTTACAATTGCCTTCTGCCTCTGCCTCTCCCTTTGTTTGGCCCTTTCAGACTCCCGCTTCTCATACTCTTTGCGGTATTCTTCCCTCTTCAGCCTTTCGTGCTGATATTCCTCGTAGCTGTCATACCTGAGAAACATAACTTCATCATTAAGTCAACCGCCTCCATTTACACAAGCAAAACAAATCATGAGGGGGTGGGGGCAGGGTTTGAGCTACCATCATGTCATCTAGAGGAGGTGGTGAGAGGAGCAGAAGGAAAATGACACAGGTGCCCTTACCTGGGCCTACGGCTGTAGGGCGACCTGGAACGCGATCTTGCGCACAGAGGAGAATTTCGGTGCGCACGGTGTCTGCAGTGGCTTGACTCATAGTAGTAGCAAGATCTGGGAGTGAGAGGAAAAACAGAAAGGGTATTTGCAACTGCCATTTAACCCTGGTTTATTGGCACGACTGAGTATCCCTGGAACACCATATGACAGAAAGTGGCTTCTTCCTAGCTACTGTGAGATTTCCTGGTGATGGTTTGATGGTATAGTCACTCTGGGGAGTGATGTGTTCTCTCCCAGCCTCTCTTCCTGATGCTAACGCAGAGTGCCAGTCTGGTACAATGTCAGCTTTATCTCGCATGGATCTCAACTATCCCAGCACAGGGCAGCTCTCCAGGAAATGGAAAAATTAAATGAGCAAGTTTCTTACAAATTGCTCTCTGTGATCTGACTGGCTCAAGGCACGGTGTTCAAGGCTGACAGATTTAAGAGAAGACGAGGAGGAATGTCTCTGTAATGACATCCTTGTTAGTTCCAGAAGCCCTGAGAATGCTGTGGTGAGGGGCTGGGCTGCCTGTGGGTTTTGAGTGCTTTTTTTTTTTTTTTTTTTTTTTTGACCTTATGGTCTGGGGTAGGTGATGACAAAGTTTACCTTGAAGAGGATCTACTGCCTGGGGACCTTGATCTTGACCTGGAATATGGTGATCGAGAACACGACCTGTGTCGAGAAAAGGACCTTGAACGAGAGTGCATCCTTTGGGGTCTTTGAGAAAATAAGGATTTGGGTGGTGACACGGAATCTCTACTTGGAGAGTTAAAAGAAGAGCAAGAAGGCGACACATCGAACAATGAATAGGATTGCGTGCCATCCCAAGGGTAGTTCAGTTTATCACTTTCATCTTCGCTGTCATCAAACAGGCCATCCATGGCTAGTCCTGAATTTATAAACATAGGTAGTTTGGAGAATTGTTCATTACTGAAATCACTGTCCCTCAGTTCACTGGTCTTGTCTGCTTCGTCGTCAAAAACAGCTTGACTGGGATGACCGAAGTGCTTGTTCAGCTCGGCTCGAATTTCCTGGTCTTGGAGCTGTTTTCTGGTGCTGCCAGGAGAGACCTGCTTGCCCACCTCCGGAGTCTCTCTCAGGTAGCACTGGTCTGAATCTGTGGAAGAACAAATCTGCCCCTGCCAATCGGAGGGGGCATCTTTATATTCTAGTTGTCTAGAGTCTTGGAGCTCCTGTGATATATTAATGAGTATTTCCGTTTTGGAATTAATTGACTGACAATAGTCATGATCACCAAACAGCCGTAGACTGGGCCGCTTGGCCTTCCTTTCCTCGTGTCCACTGGTGAGCACAGAGGTCTTGCTGAGCTGTGCGTACAACTCAGATTGCTCGGGCCCCTTCTTGGTGGAGTTATTGCCTTGGGTGCCAGGAGGCTCACTGTACCTGGGCTTCTTTGATGGAGGAGGTCCCACAGTCTTGCAAGAGGACTTCAGCTTCAGAGAAGTCCTGAAAGGGTTATCTTGGTTGGCTTTGTGAGGAGGCGTAGTGGGTGGAGTTAGGCCTAAGGGAAAAAAGGGGAAAAGAAGGAGGCGGTGGGGAGAGAGACAAGAGATGGAGATAATGTTGTTAAATGCCAGGACAGGTTCTCCTAACTTCTCCAGGACCTCAGACAATGGCGAGAAAGAAGGTAAAGGAAATTCATGACGAGACCTGAAAAAGTGCCTCTCTCCCTCTAAGCCTCTGTCACCCAGAAAAGATGGATCTCACTACTGTCAGGCGGCAGTGAAATCCATGAGATTTTGTATTTTAAACGCCAATGCTAACAGACCTGGCTGCCCAGGAAACACGAATGCCTCACTACCGGCCTCCACGGGGCACCAGGCATTACCAAAGCTCACATTTCCAAGGGCATTGTGTGTCTGCCTTATGGAAAATTAACACAGCGCAGCCCAGGGGAATCACAGAATAGCTTTGGTAGCATTTGTCTGCAAGGAACGCTGCGCAGCATACAAGTGGCTCAGAAAATTTTCTCCAATCAAGGATAACTACCCAAGGAGCCCCAAAACTAGGCAACTTAAAAACAAAACAAAAACAAAAAGATGGGATGACAGCAAATGTGGGGCAGGGTGGGAAGGAAACAGACAATCTCAAAGGAAGTGCTGTAAAACACAACAGACGAAAGCAGGGAACCAGACAACTGTGCAACTTGATGGCAATGATTCTTTGTCTCCACAGTTCATTAACTTAGTAAACCATGGCTAATGTAGGTATAATACTTTCTTGTAAGCATAACTAATACATTCTGTCTAAAATATGGTTCTGCAACAGAAACCTAAATGAACAGGAACCCTAAATCCTGCAGTGCCAGTGGACCATTTTATTTAGAGCACATCGGGGCGGGTTAGGAGGCTGAAGCTTTGAAACGGATCCAAACTCCGGCAACCAACTAATTTAAAAAAATAAAAAAGTAAATAGAGGGTGATGAGAGACACCCCATTGGTTGGTGCCTTTCATCCTTTCCTACAGAAGAGCAGAAAATTCCATCAGACGCCATGGTGGGAGAGCCTGTGAACTGTAGTTGCCTCTACTATGTTTCACCCCTGAGAAAGTTCTACTCATCCCTTCACACCGAGGAAGGATAATTGGGAAATGGCTCCAGAGTCCACGGAACTTTGAAGAAGGGCAGACTAGGGTTCAAATGACTTTATGCTTACAAGGAAACATTGAAGTTTACAATACATTTTCTATTTAGGAGGATGAGTGAACGCTGTTCAGAAGAAAAGAACTTCAAATCTGCTAACAAGCCTGGGGTTAGACTTAAGGCAACTGCACATTTCAAGGAGATGGCACAAAAATCTTACCTTTCTGGAGAAATGGAAAAATACACACACACACACACACACACACACACACACACACACACGACCAAGTAGGTCACAGAAAGCCACATGCAATTTTGGTATAAACAGGAAGATACTGCCTCTTTTTCCTACTTTGCAATAAAAAGATGGAGGAAATTAATATTAATATTTCCTCTATAATAAAATACTTTACACCAACATTTGGCAATTTTATTTTGCATGGCTAACACTCCTTAAATGAGCGGAGAAAGCTACAAAAATAAAAAGCAATTTGACTTTGGAAATCCAACCCAGAAAAATTCAGAAAGACAGGGAAATACAAACACAAAGAGAAGGGACTCATTGGAGTCCCAGAAAAGCTCCCTTGATTAACAGGCACCCCCATACACCTTCCACACTCTTCATTTAAAGATAATAAGGAGGTGACATATTATTGAATGAAACCTCCGTGTCACTGAGGCACATTCCATTTTGTCCCCTCTTTCATGGACAAGAATGCCCTTTACTACTCCAAGAGATTCTTATGTAATCAATCTTTCTCTCTTTCTCTTTCTTTTTCCCCTTGTTTCCTTTATCTTTTGCATTGCCCCATTCCTAACACTCATTTCTACCACATGCTACCTTCAGCTACCACTACAATAAATGTTAAGATCCTAATGTTCCTCCAAATAAATGACAAATTCTCAGATATTTCTCACAGGAGGCTAAGATGCCCAAAGAAATAATGATGAATAATCTCTATTTGCTCAGCAAATAAAAATCAAATATTCCAAATGACATAGCCTTTGAATGGTGGAAATGACATTCGACATCCTAAAATCCAATTCCATAAATCTTCTCATGGTTCCCAAATTACAGAGTTGTTACGTTCCTAATAATTTATTGCCGGGATCACTCGTTTGATACTTATCAGATAATGCTCTATATTCTTGCTCATCTCTTTTTGAATGTATAGTTTATCTTGTCTCTCCAAATAGATTATATGCTCTCAGTGGAATGTCGCTTGGGCTTATTTTTGCAAAAATTCTTGTTCTTTTTTTTGTTGTTGTTGTTTAATTTTTCTAGATTCTCCTTTAGTGGTGGGTCTTGTATTTCAGTGGCCCAAGAATAACTTGGGAAGCTGGTCAGACGTTTTTAATGAGGTGGTTCATGGACCACATATGGAGAATCTCTGTCCCGTCATGTGTAAGTAGCACAATGCCTTGATCTCAGGTATATGTATTTTGACTGACATTCTAGACTTATAAAAAGAAACCCTAAACTTCAGAAACACCAAATTAGGCCACTATTAAAGATAGACTAGTTCTAAAAATAGCTCAGCTATCTAGGGATTTTAAATATAGAAATTCTTTTTAGTCTTGAACGTTTGAAACCCTTGTCCCAGTACCTAAGCTCATTATTGCTGAAATAACTGATTCTCAGGTTGCTCTTTGGTGTGGCGATCACCTGATTGTAGTTTCTTCATTGTTTGTTTGTTTGTTTATTTTTGCTGCTGTTGTTTTTTGAGTTAAAAACAAAGCCTTTTACCTTCTTCACATATTGGGGAACCTATGGGGATAGAGCAGACATTCACTAGGCTTCTCCTTTGTGCTGGATAATACATCAGCATGCTGGTATTTTAGGGACTTCATGGTTCCTTTTAATAAATGGGTAATTCCCTACAACTTGAAGTAAGTGTATGTTCTTGCATATGTGCCTAAGATATACAGCAATACTCCAAGATAACGAAATATACCCCATGAGTGAAAATACCAGGGGTGGCCATTTCTGTTGGTACTGCTTGTTAAAAGCAGTAATACCTGATTCATGGGTGGAAGTTATTTTAGGATTAGTGAGTAGGTGGGTAAGGGAAAACAATTCAGATAATTCCCTAAACTTTTTACTGTTTACGGAAATATCTTTATTCAGAGAATACCTCCAAGCAAGATTGAGAAATCTCAAGGATGGAACCACCAGTGTCTAATTGAAAATCTATTTCCAGATATAGTTGAGACCTAAAGCAAAACAAAGCAAAACAAAAGTGTGGGAAGCATTTTATATATAATATAATATAATATAATATAATATAATATAATATAATATAATATAATATATATTATATATATAATAGTGTCAAACTTTTAAAAGCTGCTGATAGGACTGAGACCCATTGCTGCATCTGAACTAATTGGATTTCTCCCATTTCCCCACCCAGAACTCTGTCCCCTGTGGTAGGAGGGCAGTCAATACTCGATTCCTTAATGCCACTACCTTTGCTCATCTTCCCTCTAATGGCCAGACTCTCAATTTCACCCCACAAGCTTAAATCAACAGGGCTAATGCCTCCCATAACCTCTGGATTATTTCCTGTGTGTTGATTTTCTGGGGAATGTGTACATTTTGGTGTTGACAGTACAAGGTATATTCCATGCTCTCTCTTGAACTTAGCAGGTTTTGACAGATTTATGTGAGGACAGATGGCCATTACAGGCTGAAGGCTGACAAGAGGCAGTTCAGAGCATTGTTAACACACTTGCACAAACTCTCAGCAGTGCAGCACTGTGCAGAATGTAATTCAGACTATAGCTTTTTTATTACTGCCTATTTTCTTTTGTCAAAAGAGCCTGCTGTGCAGAGCAACAAATGGCTGCTATTACCCAGAATGTAATGGGTGTCAGACAAATCACGTAACACAAACAATCAAGAGTATGTAGGTCATATTTCAACAGAGCACAACCTTAGCAATATTTATGATTACTGCATTGAAATGTGTTCTATAATAAACAAGTACCTCTACATCACTCACACTTAGGCACTTCTGCACAGCAAATCTGGGAGAAGTGGTGCACACTCCACAGTCATCTTTTTAAACAGCCCTTTTATTAAAAAAAAAGTCAGATACAAGTTTTGTTTTGTTTTTCATTATGTGCTATAAAATGATTTTCTTTGAGGAGTTCTCTTTTGGGTGTGTTTGTTTAATTGAATGACTCTGATAAATGGTGACTCCTCTGTTTTTTTGTGTGTGTTCCACTATCCACCCAATGACTTCAGCAGAGTTTTTTTTTTTTTTTTTTTAATAGTGCACAGTATTTTGCAGAACCTCATGCTGTATCTGTGACTTGTTTTGAAGTTTTTTTGGCGGTGGGAAATTTCTTATGTCACATGTCAATTCAAATATTTTTTTTAAGAAAAAACAATGGAAAGGTGAGTTTCTCATTTGCTTAAAGACTTATCAAAAAAGAAAAAAAAAAGGACAGTACAGAGAGGTGTGTGGCTCGCCTTACCCATACAATTTATGCCTTTAAGAATTTGGAGTGGGTATCAAGAGATCATAGGAAAGGCTGACACTCAGTATGAACTGTTACTGCTCTGCCAGTGAGAATATTTTGTTAAAGGAGCTCCTCTCATGCTGTCCCCCACCTCCAACTTTCCCAGAACTCACTGGAGTCCCAGAGGAGCCACGCACAGAAGTGCTAATGCTTTCATGGAGGAACATCCCACACCCTGCCCAGTACTCGGCTGCCATCATCTCTGGATGCTCTGAATGCCAGTGCCCCTGCTGTTACTGTTTTTTTGGTTTTTTTGTTTTTTCCAATATTTCCTATATCACCCCTGATTACCAGAGAACAAACTGGACTCACAGAAAGCCTTCAGAACATTCCTAAGACATGTGCCTAATTCTCCAACTCTTGGTCATGGAAGATAAAGATACTAATTGGTT